AAAAGTAATAAAATTAAATATTTTGTATATAAAATTTGTACAATAAAGTGTTAATAATATTTATTTCATGATAAATATTTACCTTATAAATATATACATAATTTTATTTTTGAAAAATAAAAAATATTATAAAAAAAATATATATATATATATATAGGGGTCGGGTCAACCCAGTTGGGTCAATGCACCGGGTCGACCTACCGATCCGATCCGAGTTGAAAATCACTAGAGATAATAGTGGAAATAGGTCTTGAGTTAATTGACCTTAGTATATACTTTCATGTTTCATGCTCAAAAATAGTGGACAAACGAAAATCGAGAAAAATGTCATTTTTTTTTTTTTTTTTTTTTTATTTATTAAAACAGTAGATTCTATTACTCTAAAATGAAAATGTACAAAAAGAATATACAATCAACCCCAAGGATGAATGGAGGAACACACAATATAGGTGCCCTAAAGAAGTGAAAATAAGCAGAATTGCCTGGGAAGATTTCCGATAAGGCAAAACAAAGAGCCCGAGATATTCCAGGACAATGTTGGGCTTGATCTACAAAAGAGTCGAGCACCGCAAAAGAAGCAGTGTTCTAAAAGTCGCTAGACGCCCGCTAGGCGCACGACCAGCGCCTAGCGCCTAGGCGGGGCCTAGACGGGGCCTACAAATCAATATTAAATACCTTATTTTTTATTTACTTTTAACTACCTACATAATAAAATTATCTCAACTTATATTAAATCGACACACTTAAGTCCAAATAATAAAATTAATATATTTAAAAAAAAATATGATAACAAAATAATATAATTAGTATTTAAATTTAAAAAAAAAACTGAAAAATTCCGCCGAGCCCGCCTAGGAGCGCCTAGGTCTGCCTATGCTCGCCTAGGCGCCGCCTAACCGCTGCGTCTGCTAAGTCCGCCTAGGAGCGCCTAGGTTTTTCTGCCGATTTGTGCATATCGGAGGCGCCCATATACTGCCTAGCGCCTAGGCGGCCGCCTAGGCCGTTACAACAGTGAAAAGAAGAATACCACTGCAAAGAAGCCTAGCAGCCCTCAACCACCAAAATAACTAAACTACAACAGCTATTGAAAGGAAAAAAACTAGGAGCTAATTACTACA